CCTTTTGCTGCTGCTGCTGCTGCTGCTGCTGCTGCTGAGCGGCGGGCCGAAGAGCCCCTGCTGCTGCGGCTGCTGCTGCGGGCCACTGCCACGGCAGTGCCCTGGCGGCGCCTGGAAGACAGCCTGCGCTGCTGCTGCTGCTGCTGCTGCTGCTGCTGCTCTGCTGCTGCTTCCGGGTCGCTGTCCAGGGTCTCCTGGTATGTTGCTTCCTCTGTGTCTAAATCTGCTTCTGTCCCATCTGCTGCTGCTTCCGTTGCTGTGTCTGCTGCTGCTTCTGTTGCTGTGTCTGCTGCTGCTTCTGTTGCTGTGTCTGCTGCTGCTTCTGTTGCTGTGTCTGCTGCAGCTTCTGTTGCTGTGTCTGCTGCTGCGTCTGTTGTTGCTTCCGTTGCCCCATCTGCTGCTGCTTCCGTGGCTGTGTCTGCTGCAGCAACTGATGCTGCATCTGCATCTGCTGCTGCTGCTGCTGCTGCTGCTGCTGCTGCTGCAGCTGAGTCACCGAGCAAGTCATGGCTGTTGTCCACACTCATTTGCTGCTGCTCTTCTCGAGAGACCGGCGAATCGCCCCTTGCTGCTGCTGCTGCTGCTGCTGCTTCTGCTGCAGCTGCTGCTGCAGGGGCATCAGCATTAAGCGAATGCGAGAGCTGCTGCAGAGCTGCATTGAACTCGCCCTTGCTGCTCATGCTGCTGCTGCTGCTGCTGCTGCCGCAGGTTGGGGAGCCGTGGGCTTCAGTAAGCAGGGCATGCAGTCTGCTGCTGCTGCGCTGCTGCAGAGTCGCTTCTGCTGCTGGCGCTGCGGCTGCAGCAGCTGCTGCCGCTGCTGCTGCTGCTGCTGCTGCTGCTGCTGCTCGTGTCTGCCCCACTTTAAATGCAGGAGACTTGCTAGCAGGAGCAGCACGCACAGTCTTGAGGGAGACGCTGCTGCTGCTGCTGCTGCTGCTGCTGCTGCTGCTGTTTCTGCGAGGAGGGGGAAGGGAAGGAGCTGCTGAGCCTGGAGGCCCTGTGCGGCCAAAGCGTGCTGCTGCTGCTGCTGCTGCTGCTGCTCGCGAGGGAGTTGCAGCAGCAGCAGCAGATTCTGCTGCAATAGCTGCTGCCGAAGAAATCCGGTGGCTTGTTCTCATGACCCTAAACCCTTTGTACCACCGAGGGTTTAGGGTTTAGGGTTTAGGGTTTAGCGCTTCGCAACCAGGGGAAACACACCCCATCACAGAAGCCCCGAAGCAACAGCTGCCTGGTGCAGCAAAGTGAGAAGCGAGCTGCTGCTGCTGCTGCTGCTGCTGCGATTGCTGCTGCTGCTGCTGCTGTTGCTGCTGCGGCTGCAGCTGCTGCTGCTTCTGGGGTCTTCGCCGACTACTTCTGCCAGAGGTTGCTGCAGCTGTTTGAGATGCTGCTGCTGCTGCTGCTGCTGCTGCTGCTGTCAGTCACGCTCCCGCAGGGGGCCCCCTGGGGCCCCGAGGGTTTGGCTTGTTGTCTGCTGCTGCTGCAGGTGGCAGATCTTCTGGTGGGTGGGGGGCAGCAGCCATTACGAGAGGGGGAGTGATTGCAAACCCTAAACCCTAAACCCTAAACCCTAAACCCTAAACCCTCGCAGCTCGCGACCCTGTGAGCTGGGAGCAGCTGGCCTCCAGCGATGCCAACCCCAAACCCCAAACCCTAAACCCTAAACCCTAACTTAGATGCAAAAAGAAACATAAAATGGCTGTTGTTGGTCGCTACTGAGAGAGTTGGGGGTCTCGTGGCCCCACCGTCTAGGGTTTGCTGTACGTACACCTGGCGCTGGGGCAAGTGGAAACCCTAAACCCTAAACCCTAAACCCTCAGCCTAAACCGCGGCCCCGAACTAGAACTTTAACGCAAAGGCGCCTCTAAAAGAGAAGAAGAGGCTGAGGGAGCCAGGGGATGGCTTTGGCCCTGGGGTGTAGTGACACCTGAGGGCGGCTGTAGGTTTGCTGCTGCTGCTGCTGCTGCTGCTGCTGCAAGCTGTCTGTACACTCGACGGACTTTTATGCATTTATTTCGCATTTTAAACCCTCAACAAACCCTAAGACCTGCAAACAACCCCGAGCCTCCCGCAACCCCGCAGCGCCACCGCTGCTGCCAGCAGCAGTCCTGCTAGCCTCTGTTTGGACCGAACCCGAGGCGAACTGAATTAAATAAGTTCTTTAAAACATTAAATTAATAAAATGATGCACCAGACATAAGTCTGCGGCCCAACTTGGCGCCGCAACCGCTCCCGCCGGCTGTCCTTCCAGTGTCTGGCCAGCTTGAGGTGTATGTACACCTCACCCTTTACAACTAGTTCTTGCCTCCTTCGACAAAACAGCAAAAGGCATAACTTCACAGTGTTTCGCCTCCAGCCCCACAAGCCCAGAGAAGCCGCGAGACAGCAGCACCGATCGCCAGCTGCTGCAACAGCAGCATATTCCTCTGCAGCAGCAGCAGCAGCAGCAGCAGCAGCAGCAGCAGTTCGTGAAGAGATTCATTTATGCTTCCCTAGCTTTGGGGGACCCCAGTGCATGCGGCCCCCTGAAACCCCTCATTCGCCTTCTTGGCTTTTGGCCTTCTCTCGAAGTCGCTGCTGCTCAGTTTGTCTTCTTAACAAAAAGTCGAAAATGAAAAGTTGGGGTTTTGTCTTAAGAGGAACACTGCAGCTAGCTAGCCTGTGGCGTGCTTCCTACCTAGCCGGCTACACGGGTAGCTAGCTGGCTAGCTGGCTAGCCACCTGGGGAGCTAGCTAACTACTGGACAAGCTAGCTAGCTACCTGACGAGCAAGCTGGGTACCTAACTAGCTTGCAAGCTATTGAGTAGCTGGCTAGCTGTCCGAGTATCTAGCTGCTGCTGCGGCAGCAAATCGCTAGCTGAATACTTCCCATTGCGATCTAGCCAGATCTATTTGACTGGCTAGCTAGCCAGCTCGCTATCTGGGCGAATGGAAGTGGCTGCGTGGTCAGCTAGCTGGGCAGTTCTTGCCACTGAGCTAACTGGATAGCTGCCTAGCCAGCTAAGTGTCCACTCCAGTTGAACTAGCTAGCTAGCTAGCTAGCCACGCAGCACCTACTTCTGTTGCTGCTTGTATTTCCCTTTTAGTTCTGGTGCTGAGGAAGTCTTTGGACCTCGCCAAAAATGAGAGAAAGTTGTGCTTCGGTCAGAGGCGCCCAGGAAGGAAGCAGCAAAAAAAGAAAATTAAAATCTCTTTTGCTGCTGCTGGCAGCACGGCCCTGCTGCTTGTTCCTGGCTTGTCTTTTGCTGCATCTTGGCTTCGGGGACACCTGGCAGCTCCAGTCCTCCTTTTGCTGCTGTCTCCTCTCTGAAAACTCACAAAAAATCCCCCATTTGCTGCTGCTGGGCCTCCTGCTGCTGCAGCGTGTGCCTGCCAGAGGCAGCTGCAGGAATGCATGTGTTCTCCATGCGGCAAGTCAGGCTTTTGGGGATTTTCGCAAGTTTAGAGATCTCTGATGAATCCCGAGGGCCTCTCTCTGTCCTTCTTCAATCCTTCTTGAATATCCCTTCGAGTCCTCTAGACTTCTTCTTAACTAGATTGTCTTCATTTTCTGTTCTTTTGCTGGGTCTCTTCGGGGTGCTTTTACTTCTCCATTTTCTTGCCAAAGGTGCAAAAGCAGCAAAATCTTTCTTTCTGAGGCCACAAAGAGAAGGGCCTGTTTTTCTTTTAATTGTCTTCTTAGTTATACAGTTGTAGGAGGCCTACGGCGGCAGCAGCAGAGATGCACTCAGCTTCAGCTGCAGTCCTTTACGGCAGCAGCACTGCAGCAAAAGTCAATCTTTAAGCTGCAGGCCTAGGAGACTTTCTGCAGGCCCAACAAAGAGGGGGCCCCAACACTTGCTTGAGAACCCAAGTCCAGAAGTACTTTTTCTTGGCGGAAAAGGAAAACCTGAAGCCACACTCCTCCGGAGCAACTCACTGCACACCAGGCCTTCAAACTTTCTTGAGAAGATTTCAGAAAGGCCCTAAAAGCCCCGCGGTTTTGCAGCTGCATGCATGCTCCCAGCGGGGAAGCCCCCTGGGGCCTGTTGGAGGTTCCCTCGGATATCCGGGATCCCAGATAGTCCACCCGCTTTTGTCTTCTTGAGATTTTTGCAGAAAATAAACATCTTTTGTCTGTAGCCCAAAGCCCAGTCGACCCCGTGGCGGTCTTTCAAGTGAGCCAAACTCACCTGTGCTGCCACTTTCTGGCTTTTAAGTCTTTGTCCTTCTGACTACGGAGGTGGACGCCTGCCAGTGCGCCCAGAAGTCATTCCTAAAACATTAAAAGAGTCCAGAGAACATCCTCGTTGGCCAAATTGCCAAAGGACACAGCTGTTCTTTCCTACCTGCAGAGCCCCACGGGACCGCTTTCCCTATCAATGAAGCCTTTTACATGATAATAACTTCCGAATTGTTTTTTGAAATTCAACTTTTTGAGCTGTGGACCCTGAAGGGTATTTCTGGGCTACAAGGAGCGCTGCGCACTCCAGGTGCCCCCAGCCAGAGGCTGTCACAGGAGGCTTCCTTCTCCTCTCGCAACAAAATTTTTCTCTTTGAAAAATAACGAAGTTAAAAAACTTTTGCAAAAGATACTAGTGGGGTGGCCGCATGGTGGCTGTCTCCCTCAATCTGCTGCCGGGGCCTACAGGCACTTGCTTCGTTGTTGTCTGGCCAGTCCTTAAGAGGGGCAGCACTTGAAGATTTTCTTAATCCGAAGACATCGCTGTATTTAGTCTAAATGCCATTTAGAAAGAACTCCGAAATATTCTCTTTAAAAACGCCGGCAGGAAGGCTTAAGTCAAGAGTGCCTTCTATGTCGCTTATTCAGAAAGAAAAAGCACCGGCTTCAGCAAAAAAGCTGCCAAAGAGGGGTTAATGAGTGTTTCTGTCTTGAAATCCTGTTTCATTTCGACAAAAAAGATTTCAAAAAGAATATTAACTTTTGCGGGGGAAAACCCAGTAAACGCCGTTTGGACTCAGCGCGATTGCGGCCCTTATTTGCTGCTGTTTGCAGCATTCTGCAGAAGGTATTTGTTTGGAAAAGGGAAGCAATTTAATTTTCCAAACTACGTTTCGAGAATTGTTTTCAAAGAAAACGACTTCAGAGTTCTATGTGGGTCCTCTCACTGGTACTCGGGCACTTTGGTCTTTCCTTTCCCTCCATATAAGGCGGCCTCAGTAAGCCATTTGTGTTTATTTTCACAAATTGCAGAACAAATTTAAACTTTAAGAAATTTTTTAACGTTTCAACTTAGACTGTGCTGCTTGCAGGAGCAAGACTTGCTGCCAATCGCAGCTAAAGCGGTCCACCAGCGGCTTCTAGAGCTGTGGGCCATTTTCATGTAGTTTAGGGCTTTAGCTTTGGCATTTTTTTAAAGTGGCCTAATGAATTTCTTCCGTTTCTCGCAAAGACAGACAAACATCAAAAAATTAGCTATTCTTCCGGTCAACTTTCTTAGAAAAAAGAGAGAAATAGCTTTTAAAACTTGGCCAAATTTAAAGAAAGATGAAACTTAATACTTCACTGTCACTAAGTGAAGTTTTCCAAAGCCATCATTAGGCAAAGTTAGCCCTTGCTGCAGAGGCTACTGGGGCCCCGTAGCCGTCAAGTATAATGCAGCATTCTTAAGAAATGTTTAAAGTGCCTTTTGGCAGCTGGGGAAGATAAGAAGGGGTTGTTGAAGAGAAAACAATTACAACTTCACTGTTTTGCTGTCTCAAGCTCAAAGGGGGCAGCAGAGCTTTGCTGCAGCAGACGCTGCAGCAGGAACTTGCCGCAGCAGACGCTGCAGCTGCGTTTTGCTGCAGCAGAGTTTTGCTGCAGCAGACGTCGCAGCAGGGCCTTACTACAGGAGACGCTATAGAAAAGCTTTGCCGCAGCAGGCGCTGCAGAAGAGCTTTGCTGCTGCACACGCTGCAGCAGGAACATGCTGCAGTGAACGCTGCAGCAGAGCTTTGCTGCAGCAGAGCTTTGCTGCAGCAGAGTTTTGCTGCAGCAGAGTTTTGCTGCAGCAGAGTTTTGCTGCAGCAGACGCTGCAGTAGAGCGCTGGCGGAAGCACGGCTCCAGCGGTTTGGCTGTGGCTGCTCGGGCACTGGAGTTCAGAGCTTGTGCTTTGCGGGGTTTAGGGTTTAGGGTTTAGGGTTTAGGGTCTAGGGTTTTCCTCACTCTATTCGGCTAGAGATTATACCTAAACAGCATTTAAAACGGCATTTATTACATAACTTAGGGTCTAGAATATAAGGGTCTTGATCCAAGGCATTCTTTTGTATTAGGTTAATCTGTAAGAGGGGCCCCCAGGGGCTCTCGGGGCCCCCAGGGGCCCCCAGGGGCCCCGGGGGCCCCCAGCAGCTGCTTTGGAATCTTTTTGTCTTGTTTGGCTTATGTCTGTAATTGCATTTCTTCTCTTATTAATTCATCAGAAATTCGATTTTTATTTGCTATGGCGTAGGGTTTAGGGTTTAGGGTTTAGGGTTTGGCAATGGGACTTCTGGTGGTTCTCACGCTGCTGCTGCAGTGTTGGGGGGCCCTCGGATTTCTAGGGTTGGGGGGCCCCAGGGCCCCTCGAGGAACGCTTGAAGCCAAAGATGAGGGAGGTAGCTGCTGCTGCTGCTGCTGCTGCTGTTGCTGCCAGTTCTGTTTTTGCTGCTGCTGCTGCTGCAAGTGCTTTTTGCTGCTGCTGCTGCCGCCGCCGCCGCCGATGTTTTGCTGCTACAAGTGCCGCTGTTGTTACGGCTGCTGTTGTACTGCGGATACTGCTATTACCATCGCTGCTGCTGCTGCTGTTGCTGCTGCTCGTGCAGCAGCCAGAGCTGCTGCTGCTGCTGCAGCCGCCTCTCAACTGCTGCTGCTGCTGCTACTGCAGCTAATGATCTCCGCCTTTGCTGCTGCTGCTTGCGCGTGCAGACGTTGTCCGGCTGCTGCGCGTTGAAGAGCTTCAAGCCATCAGCAGCAGCAGCAGCAGCAGCAGCAGCCAAGAGGCTGCGGTGCTGCTGTTCACCTCATGGGACTCAAGCAGCACGTACTAAACCCTAAACCCTAATAAATAGCCCCTGGCAGCAGAGGGTTTAGGGTTTGGGGTTTAGAAGGGAAAAAGTTACTCCTAAGCCTCTCCTGCACTCTTGACTTACCTCTGCTGCCTTGTTTACTTGTAGACTCCAGAGTTTAGGGTTTAGGGTCCAATTTAGGGTTTGGGGTTTAGGGTTTAGGGTTTAGGGTTTAGGGTTTAGGGTTTGGGCGCGCAGGTTGCTGCTGCAAACGTGGCGGCAAGCGGCTCTCGCGTTTCAGCAGAGCCAGCGAGGGTCTCTTTCTTTGTTGTCTTTGTCTTTATCTCTTTTTCAAAAAAGAGACAAGACGCAGCCCGCCAAGCTGCTGACAGCAGCATTTGACTGCGCGCAGCAGCAGCAGCAGCAGCAGCAGCAGCAGCAGCAGCAGCAAGTGCAGCAGCAGCAGCAGCAGGATGCCAGGTCCCTGTGCCGCAGTCTCGGCGTTTCTGCCTTTCCTGCTCTTCTGTACTTCACTCCACAGCCGATACGCCCGACGCAGCAGCAGCAGCAGCAACCGCAGCAGCAGCAGCAGCAGCAGCATAGGCAGCTGCAGCAGCAGCAGCAGAAGCAGCAGCGGTACTGGGGGATTTGGGACGACCAGGAAGATCTCTCTCTGCATCCCCGAGCGACAAGGTAGGAGCTGCGAGAGAGATGAAAACGCTGTTGCTGCTGCTGCTGCACCCTTTTGCTGCTGCTGCTGCTGCTGCTATTTTTGCGTGGTGTTGCTGCTGCTGCTCACTTGCTGCTGCTGTTCGCTGCTGTTGGTTTTACGGTGGTGCTGCTGCCGCCGCTGCACACCTGCAGCAGAAGAAACGGGAGACGAACAGCCCAGCAGCAGCAGCAGCAGCAGCAGCATGGGAAGCGGTAAGCCCTAAACCCTAAACCCTAAACCCTAGTTGCTCACATTTGCTGCAGGTACAAAGGAGACCTCTTGATGAAGGAAGCAATCGTTGATTGGATGAAGCTGCTGCATGCAATCTCCCGCCTGCAGCGGGTAGTTAGCAGCAGCAGCAGCAGCAAGGAGGCGCAGCAGCAGCAACTAGAGGAGCGGCTGCAGCAGCAGCAGCAGGTCATTCAGCAGCAAAAGCAGCTACTGGAGCAGCAACAACTGGAACTGGAGGCGCTGCGTAGGCAGCTGCGTCAGTAGTAGCAGTTGCTGCTGCTGCTGTTGCTGCTGCTGCTGTTGCTGCTGCAGCAACTGCTACTGCTGACGCAGCTGCAGCAGCAGCATCTAACCCAGCAGCAGCATCCAGAGCAGCAGCAGCATCTAGAGCAGCAGCAGCTGCAGCAGCAGCGAGACTAGCAGCAGCAGCAGAATAGCTGGTCGGAGCCTCCGCTTAATACTTCTGTTTCTGGGGAAGTTCCCCAGCATCAGAGCAGCAAGTCGTGCAGCAGGAGCTGCTGCTGCTGCTGCTGCTGTTGCGGTTCTATAAGCAGTTCCTGCTGCTGTAACGGCCAGCGGCGCCGTCACAGCTCCGCTGCTGCAGCTGCTGCAGCTGCTGCAGCTGCTGCTGCTGCTATGCAGCAGCAGCAGCAGCAGCACCAAGATGTCGCCAAAGGTTCGCAGCTTGCAAGGCAACAAAAACAACTAATAAATTGTTGACGCAGCGGTCGCTGCTGCAGCACAAGCAGCAGCTGCTGCTGCAGCACAAGTAGCAATTGCTGCTAGTCGTGTTGCTGCTTTTCCGTTGTTCTGTTTATTGTGTTGCACCAAACTACTATACGGGATGCAATGCTTTGCTGCTGCTGCTGCTGCTGCTTGCCATTCTCTGCGGCTCTGCTGCTGCAGGCCCCAAACCCTTCCCCAATGGTACAGCATTGAGGGTTTAGGGTTTAGGGTTTAGGGTTACTTTCTCGAGGCCGCTGAGCTCGCTGTCGCTCGCTGCTGTGTTTACTGTTTCATTTGTAACAGCAGGAGGGTACAGTTTCGCGCTGCTGTCTACTTTTTGTTTGCTGCTGCTGCTGCCGCTGCTGCTGCTGCTGCTGCTGGGAGATACCAAGGAAGCTCCCTGCACTCGCTGTTCTGCTTGCACCAACTGCTGCTGCATTGCAACGGCTACTTTGAGTGCAAAGATGCTGCTGCTGGTTTCCGCAGTTGCTGCTGCTTCCGTTGCTGCTGTTGCAGCTGCTGCTTCAGCTGCTGCTGCTCCTGCTGCTGCTCCGTCTTCAGCAGCAGACACAGCAGCGGCGCCTGCTGCAGCACCCACCTGCGACGGGGTGGAAAGCATGTCTTGCAGCTCGCCAGCTTCGGCAGCAGCAAGCGCAGCAGCAGCAGCAGCAGCAGCAGCAGCAGCTTGCTTCTCTCTTTGCATCCAGCTTTTAATGGTAAAAACGGCGAGAACAATTGCAGAAAAGACGATCAAGCCAGCCCCACACAAGGAGGCTACATTGAAACCCTCGCCAATGATCAGCTGCTCGCATTCACGCAGCAGCAGCTCCCAAGGTTAGTGGTAGGGTTTAGGGTTTAGGGTTTAGGGTTTACGAGCCGGATGGCTCTGCACGAGTTGAGCAGCCACGGCGTTGGCTTTAGGCCTTGGAAACAAATATACACTGCGGGGCAACGCCAAAGCGCCGCACCGAGGGTTTAGGGTTTAGTGTTTAGGGTTTAGGGTTTAGTGTTTAGGGTTTAGGGTTTACTTGGAAGGAGTAGCTGAAGACAGCATCCAGGTTTTGGACAATGGCGATTGTCGCCGCAGACTCAAACTCTAGAGCGCTTATGAGGCACAGCTGCGCCCCCAGACCCAGACAGGGAAGCACTGCGAAAAAGCGTAAACCACTACGGTTTAGGGTTTAGGGTTTGGCGCTTAGGGTTTAGGGTTTAGGGGTTTGAATCTGTCGACCTGGCAGCTGAAGATGTGGAAGCAGCAAGGACTCGCGGGAGTTCAGCAGGCAAGGGTTTACAGGCAGCTCCGCGTGGTCCCCCGGAGGGGGCGTGGAACCTCGGGTTTAGGGTTTAGGGTTTAGGGTTTAGGGTTTACGGATGAGGGCTGTCCACTCGGCGGGCTCGAGGCTTTTGAAGAAAGAAGCCGTAAATGGAGAAACGGATAGCACCAAAGGCAAAAAGAAAACAAGACCAAAAAACATCATAAACAAAACCGAAAGAATAGGGGGCCCCCTTGTGGCCACGTGCCGCCCCAGAACAAACGACACGCCGTCTGCCCTCCACAGCCACACAAACCCTAAACCCTAAACCCTCAGCCCTCAACCCTAAACCCTAATCCACATACAACCGCCCGAACCCTGTGTGGCCATTCAAAACCCTAGGATTCCACTCCCCTTCTACGGCCCAGCTTCACAGGTTTGAGACTGCATAGGAAATTTACTATCTAAACCCTAAACCCTAAGTCCTAGACCGTTTTGGCTAAAGCCTATGCTCCAACTCTCTTGTAAGCAACACTTTAAAAATGCTTTCTTCTTTTGGCAGGCCTGCTCAACCTCTGAGGGTTAAGGGTTTAGGGCTTAGGGTTTAGGGTTTAGGGTTTACGGAGAAAGGCGCCGACGACCAGCATGATAAAAGCCCCGCCCTTTGTAATGTTGTCAATCATTGCGATCTCACTTTTGGAGTTCTCGGCGATAATTGCTGCAAACAAACCCTAAACCCTAAACCCTAAACCCTAAACCTCAAACCTCGTTCTGGGCCTGAAGCAGCACCATGGCTCCGTGATGTGCTAGGGTTTATATCGCCTCAAATAACAATCCAGGGCTTAACTTGTGCTAAGGACTAGTTTAGGGTTTAGGGTTTAGGGTTTACTGCCGCCCCCGAGGGTCGCGTGCATGAGGCCCGGCTTCGCAATGAGCAGAATGCCAAGGCAGCAAACCAAAACCATACTCCATAACCTGCAGCAGCAACAGCAGCAGCAGCAGCAGAAAAGCAGCAGCAGCAGCAATACCGCCCCCGGAAGCACAAGTTGTCCATTCAGTTTCGTGTTTCTTCAACTCAAAATGTCTGCCCCTACCACAGCAGCAGCAGCAGCAGCAGCAGCAGCACGCACAGCAACGAAACCAAAAAAAGCGGAACCACAGACAGCAGTAGCAGCAACACAGATAGCAGCAGCAGCAGCAGCACAAACAGCACCACAAGCAGCAGCGGCACAAATAGCACCACCAGCAGCAGCAGCCCAAACAGCACCAACAGCAGCAGCGGCACGAACAGTACCAACAGCAGCAGCAGCACAAACAGCCGCGGCAGCAGCAGCAGCACAAACAGCCGCGGCGGCAGCAGCAGCACAAACAGCCGCGGCAGCAGCAGCAGCACAAACAGCAGCAGCAGCACAAACAGCAGCAGCAGCAGCAGCACAAACAGCAGGAGCAATATACCAGCCAAGTCCTTCCTTTTGAATTACAGCCCCAAGAAAAGCGGCCCAAATTGTCGCCGACAGCCCCACAGCTGCTGCATCTCCCAGAGGCAGGCGCGAGAGAGCAACATAGTAGAGAGCTGAAGAACAAAAAGAAAAATTAAAAACAAAATTAAAAACCCAGCAGCAGCAGCAGCCACTGCAGCAGCAGCAATACGAACAGCTCGGCCCGCAGAAACGGCACCAACAGCAGCAGCGGCATCAACACCCCAGTCGGCAGCAACAACAGTGACAGCAGCAACAGCAGCGACGGCAGCAGCAACAGCAGCAGCAGCAGGAACAGCAGCAGTAACACCAGCAGCAGCAACAGCAGCAGCAGCAGCAACAGCAGCAGCAGGAACAGCAGCAGCAGACCGTGGCAGATAACGGCAATGATCCCTCTGGCGAGTAAAAATTTGGCGAGAGGTTCTTTGTAATGGAGATATTTGAAAGGGTTTATTTTGCGGACTTGACAAATAACGACACAGAGCACAGACTGAAATATAAACCGAAAAAGCAAGACCTGCAGCAGTAGCAGCAGCAACAGCAGCAGCAGCAGCAACAACACCGAAACAAAAGCAGCCAACCACGTCAAGAACAGCAGCAACTGGCCCCTCCCGAACTCTTTAAAACGCCTCCCGAAAAGTTCGCCATGAGATTGGGGTGCCCCTGGGGGGTTAGGGTTTAGGGTTTAGGGTTTAGGGTTTACGTTGAGTATAGGGAGCCCGGCCGAACAAACCACCTTTGTGAGCACCCCAGTGCAAGAGTAAAGAAAAGCCCCAATTGCTGACAGCAGAATTCCTTTAGAAGCAGCGCAGCAGAGAGACACGCGGCTGCTACGCTGCTGCTGCAGCGGAGACAGCCGCTGCAGTGCCGATGATATCATTTTGCTGCAGAAGGAGCCGTTTTGCTGCGAGTGCAGCAGCAGAGAAAAGCACAAACGCAAATGTGTATTTCAAGCAGCTGCATTTGGGCGCATGCGGGGCTTCAGTGTACGTACACCTGGAAGTGCATGCACGTGTCATTCATTCATTGATGTCTTTGTTTCCATCCAAAAAAGATATTTCAGATGATTCCGGACTTGTCTTCAAATTCGCGTCACAACGATGTGTTTGCTGCGTTGCATGCATGCAACTGGAAGCAAAAAACACAAGAAATAAATAAAACGTGCACGGAAACCCGTGCACCTTTGCCCACAGTGTGAATAAGCGCAAAAACACACTTTTCTGGAAATGTGCCGCATGCATGCGCGCATGCATGTATTTCCTTGACCAAGAAATGCACAGGCAAAGAAAATGTATAAGAAAAGGCTTGCTCTTACACAAGAATATATACATATATATATAATGTATACTCGAATGCAGGTAAAGATGCATGAATATATTTATATCTTTGCATGCATATATTAATTTCATATGCGCCTTCTCTTGTACCTGTTTTCTCGGCTTTTCCCAAACGCAGCAGCCAAGTTTGGCCCGGAAAAGGAATTGTAGAGGGCCAGCAGAAAAAGAAATCTAGGGTTTAGGGTTTAGGGTTTAGCCTTCAGAGTTTCCAGTGGCTCCAAACAAAACCCGTTCTCAAGCCCAAACGCTAAGAGCCAGGAACGGGGGTTACCGCAGCGGGGAACCTAAATAGAATTAAAAGAAACGGCAGAAAGCGGCAAGAAAGCCTCGAGACAGACGGATCGGGTAAAAAGATTAAAAAGTGCAAAGAGGGGGTTGCTTCGAGCCCCCGAGAAGACCTCGCGGAGAGTTCTTCTTCATTCCAAACCCTAAAACCTAGCCCCAAACCCTAAGCCACCGAGCGGCAGAGCTCAACAACAAAGTAAAGCACTCCGCAGCCGCTGGGCATCATCAACAGCTAGCGAGTTAGCTGGGTTCCGCCTGAAAAGCAAGACAGAAACACCATCAAACCCTAAACCCTAAACCCTACTGCGGCCTGCACGTAGCGACGCTGCAACGAGGCTTGATTTCGCTCTCGTTTCCCTCAAAGATTAACCTCCTGTTCATGGGTAAAAATCTAAAAAAAGGGTTTGTGGCTGAGAGGGAAGGGTTTAGGGTTTGTGCTGCAGGGCGTTGGCAACAGACCAGTGGCACAGGCAAGGCGCCGGGGGGTCGGCCACTGCGGAGAAGGGAAAGGCAAAAAAAAACAAACCCTTAGTCCCCCCAAAACGCTTGTTAGCCAACCTAAATAGAGTTTTTGGCTTAGGGTTTTCTTACTAGGGTTAAAACATCGGAAGACAACTGTTTAGAGGCGCTCTCGCGGTGTTCCCGCTCGCCCAGCAGCAAAAGCTCCTGTGCTGCTGCGGCTCAAGCTGCCACTGGCAAGCCCCAGTCGGCAGTGTGCGCTCGTTTAGTAGTTTTGCCAGGAATTACCCCACCGAATAATTCATTTTAAAGTAATTCTTATCTTGTTTGAGCTGCTCAAATCCGCACTTTCAAACCCAGGCACCAAGCGCTAGGCGCCTGGCTGTGGGTCGGCGAGCTGCGGGATTTTATCAAGTTCAGCGACAACGACTGACAGGGAGTACAAACTTGCATTCTAGACGCTAAACCACGCAAAAACCCAAACCCTAGCTGAATACATGGGTCATAAACGCTTATTCCTTAAAAAGGGATTAGGGGAATTCGAAAAAAAATCTCAGAGCTACAAAAAAGCACACACACAAGGCGCTAGAAGCCGCGCCCTTACTCTTTGCGGGCTTATTCTTAGTGCTTCCAGTTTCCGGCGACAGTTACACTCGTGTGATCCAAGTTCAGCAATTTCATGAGGCATTTGACACTCTCCTATGAAGGTAATACTAAAGTTAGAGGTTCCATGAGGTCCCATACGCCATTTTTAACCAAGATAAACTCAGAAAGACATTAGAAAGGCTTCCCCAAGGAGGCAGGCTGCTGGGGCTTCGGCCAATGATGCTAGCAAAGGGAATAGCAGGAAGAGTAGTGACGGGGAGGTGCCAAATAGTGTCTTTTCCATTTTATTTAAGAGAAAACTCCATCATGTTTCAGCAGCTAGTATGAAAGGGGCTGATGCTACGTAATCCTCTCTGGGCTAGCGACTCTGGAGTTCTTATGTGGCTCAAACTGCACACTTTAGTGGAGGCGAGAGCCGTTCCGCCTCGGCAAAATTTCTTCGTCGTAGTGAATCAATTCCATTGCCATTTTCAGAGAAACAAGCAACAGGAAATCGGATTGTTGCTGAGAAATAGGCAAGTACAGCAACAAAGTTATCCTATTGCACACGCAAGATGCTGCTTTCAGTTCAACCGCCTTTCTGGGGAGCTTATCTATATGCAGTTCCACTTGTTTTAAACGCATTTTAAAATGCATTGGTGCACGCCGACTGGCGTAAACTGAGAGCGAGAATGCACCACCTACAGATGCTGAAGAATTTTAGTTTCTCATTACACGGCCTGTGCCCATGCTGAAATGTGCAGAAGTGCACCGCTTTCCAGTTGTGGACTCGCAGCAGCGTAGATTCTTGATCTGAGCTAGATTTTCTGACCTTTGGTTCACACTTAACAGAGAACAGTGCACCGAAACGCCAATAGATGTTGGGTTTTTCATGTTGTTCAGAGTGGTCTGGGCCTTGTCACCAGTGCCAGCGTAGAGGGTGTCCTAAATCTGCATAGAAGTGTAGGCTAAAAACGTTCTGTTCAACCACACCGATAGACAAAACAATTTCATACGGCAACTGCACCATGGTGGGCAGCAGATAAGATAACGACGCTGGCACACTGGGGGTGGTGAAGGTAGAGTCATTTCCAAGGAACTGCGATGATCATCCGCTCATCAGGTCGCAGTAACCCTGGGGGCTGATGGTGCCAACGGCTCTGCAAGTTTTTTTCTGGATCGGCTGAAGTGAGGCACCTGGCCCTGTTTTATGGCCCTTGACGAGAAAGGAGGCTTTTCTGCGACTGGCGAAGCCAAAGTTCTTTTCGTAGTTTCAACCCTAGTGTTTGCATGCATGAATGCAGAGGCGTAGAGGGAATTGTCTAGGTTAGAGTAAAATTTCGGTTTCTTGTGCGAATCGCAGTTCGGAAAGTTCTGAATGTATTCCGTATGATATCCTTGCTCAGGCAAATTCCTAGAACGGCAATTTCTACGAAGCCTGTAGTGTTATGGATGTACCAGGTCTGCAGGAGCTTGAGGGTTCCTGTCGATGCTACGTGCTTAGATCTGTTCGTGAAAAAGCGAACTGGGATGCTGACCTGATTTCCACCCAGCTAATGCGCAGAGGAATATGCGGAGAACTCCATTTCCTCTGTATGACTGCGAGCTCGTACAACCTGCTTCAAATTCTGGTTTTGTCTTTCCCACTCCCATTGACTGCCAGCCACTAAACACAGAAGTTCAGTATATGTGCCTCCAGAGAGGCCACTGCTAAGAGCAGTCAAGAAATTGTGGAGCTCACGTGTTGGATACCGCGAGAGTTCAGTATATGTGCCTCCAGAGAGGCCACTGCTCAGAGCAGTCAAGAAATGGGGGAGCTCACGTGTTGGATACCGCGAGACTTCAGGCAAAAATTTGCACGAACGATGTCAACTAGAGAAAATCCACACTGCACAGAAGAAACATTCGTTGCGGAATATCGAAAGCAGTGTGCTAGCACGGTTTGCGTGTCTGATGTAGGCAAAAAAACTGAGATTCGAATAATGCGGGTCTGTCGATCTCTTGCTGCATAAAGATTGTCAAGGAAACTGCCATCCAAAGCGAATTGGGATGTCAAGTCTTCAAACTTGTGCCGGGAAGCCACCAGGACGATGCCTTCCAAAAAGAGGACTCGTTTGCCAGCTTGGCTTGCACTTCATTTCAGGCGTTCTCCTTTGTTCTCCGTGCGAGGCATTCCATAATCACTAGGGCTAACAAGCGGGGCCTGCAGATATCAGGCGCGTTGTTTGTATCGCAGAATAAATGAAAAGCATGCGACTGTATTCTGTAAAAGCTGCATCCACAGAGATGCGCTGCCTCGACAAAACTGAATATATGATCAAGCTTACACGACAATAAGCCCCACCAGGGCTCCCAAATCTGAAGCGAATGTTTCTCTTTTGATTCCAAATGTTCCTTCAAGAAACTACGTTCACAACATAGCACAGAAAATGATTCAAGCCCCTGAAGCAGCTCATTTGGGGTTGAGCTCTCTTAGGCTTAAATTTTCCCGCTGAAGGGCCCTCCTTGGACTTACGGCGTCTCCCGAAACATTTTCTCCCTCCTCACCAATGAAGTACTCGTTTTCAAGAATCGTAACGCTAAAAGCCGAAAGTGCATATTTGAATGGTGATAACGCCTGTAACGGAGTAGCACCACTAGCAGCCATATCACTTCACTAAACTGAAGATGTCCCCGTGGAAGGAAGTGCAAGAAGTGGGATTTTTTTCTTACCGC